CTGGACGGCGAGATGCTGTCGATGCTGTTCGTTTCGCAGGCAGTGTCGTTTTCGTCACCGACGCTGTTGGTCGTAAACGTGCTCAGCTGTTGTGCTAAAGCGTACACAATACCGGTAAGATCAGTACCGCCTGAGCACGTGCAAAACGATCGATCGCTTACCGAGTTGCTCGACATTGCCCAGCTCCAGATCGTCGTACAAAAACTCGTTTTCCTCAAACCCCAGCTCCTGACAATCGTCAATGTAATGTTCTAGGTCATCTTTGATCCGTTTCACCTTAAAACAATACACGTGCGGTACCATAATAAACGCGTATGCACCTGCTGTATTAAGATGTGCTGTACAAACTGTTCTGTAACATTTTTTAGCAGATTTTAATAGACAAATAAAATACACGAGTACAAACTGAAAACGGCATAAGTCTGTATCAACAAGTTACGTATTAACAAGAAACACTTATCTCACCTGGTGGGCCTCGACGCTATGGTTGTTCAATAAACGCAAAATCAACTCCAACTTTAAAACGTGATATTTGTGTCTCTCCATCAGTCGTCGCAGCTCGTCCAATCGGTCCTGTTTCTACAGTATAAAAATGCAAACGGGCGACGTAAACGGGTCGCACAGTAAATTCTCTTACATCTTTATCAAGTTTCTTCTTTTTGCCCAAGCAAACGTTCAGCTGTTCCACCTCGCTCTCGAACATGTCGCTTTGTTGGTTCAAACGGTGGATACACTCCTGAAAACGCATGCGGTTTCATATACGATGTTAAGTGCGAAAGTAATTGTAAATGAAATGGGCGCACTTGCAGCCAGCCGATTGTCTCTTCCTTCTCCTTCTCTCTCGGATCAACTTTCTGTTCCGCACCCAAACCTTGCTTGCTATAGGCTTTGGTTTTCGTTTCGCGCTCCACAACTTTAAACTGCTCCATTTTCTAAATAACAACGATCACAACACCCAGAAATGACCGCAGGAGTGAGAATGGAAAAAACTAGTAGAAAAAGCAACAATATCAAGCATATTGTGGCAAAACGACTAATTACGGTTATGCATATCAAGTGCCGCCAGGGCATACATACCCTGAAATACAATACAACTGCAATTCTATTCGCTAAGTGCTTTGAAAATTTTTAGAGCCTATTTTTACACACAACTACGTCATTGCCGGTTTCACGCCCAAATTAGGAGGAGGGCTGAGAATCGCGGAGATCTCCCGTAAAACTTAGCCTTCTGTCATGCG